ATATATATATATATATATATATATATATATATATATATATATATATATATATATATATATATATATATATATATATATATATATATATATATATATATATATATATATATATATATATATATATATATATATATATATATATATATATATATATATTATTTATTTTTGAAACTTTATAATTAATCTATTTAGTCTAATTTATTTTTATTAATTAGCCAACCTAAAATATAAATTGATGCAAAAAAAATCAATTTTATTAATTAGTCCACCTAAAATTCAAATTAATGCAAAAAAAACTTCTTAAATTCTTTTTTTTTTCTTTCCCTATTTTCTAATTTTGTCACAAAAAAATGCTAATTTTTTTTCCGAAGGCGCTGCCCCCGAACTCTGAGAATTTGAGCCACCCTGTAACAACTTTCTGGACTCACCACTAACTGTTTACATCCCACAATCGTGTGAGATATGCAAACACTTGACCAGAAAAAAGAAAAAAAGTTGATCTTTTAACACACACAATCAAAGAATTTCGGATTAACGACCTCTCACCAAACACCGTTAATGAGAGATACTCATGATACCATCATACCACTAGATTAAAACTTAATTGATACTTAAAAAATATTAGTAAATATCTATGTTCGGGCCAATTAAATACTAGAGTATGATGATATAATATTTGCACCCTCATGGTCCTTTTCAAGCCCAACTGCCTCGAACGCCAGGAAATTCATCGATCACCGGATTTTGGGTAAGTGGTGATGAACAAAACGGTGGAAAAACATTAAAAGAGAGACATAACTCGAGAGAAAGTATCAAAAATGTATTATTAACGGTGAGTAGGCGTAACCCAAATAGGGTTTCTTACATTTGCTTATATAGAGAATTATTTATGGTTCTTTCTTTATTTACAATCGTAATTATGATTGTTCAATCAACGATTTCAATCTACAATCTTTCCTTGACTATTTATGGAAGTTATCTCTAGATCTCACTGTTAACCTCAAATTTAAATGTCTGCAAAATAAATTACAAGACAAGAAAAAGTAGGAACAAATAATTATATTTTAATCAAAACGAAAATGGGTTACAATCTTTGTTGATTCCTCTGATTCTTCTCCTAGATGTAATCCAAGGGCCGAAGCTTGTTCTTGAATTGAGAGCTTGATTCCACCGTTGATTTGCGGAAGTAGATATGAATATCTAGAAATCGATTTGGGGATTTCTAGGTCTTGTGGATTTGGTGCCTTGATGAAGATGTAGAACCTCCGCGGTTGTTGTTCTTCGTCGTGGCAAGAGCTCGAGACTTGAGAGCTTTTGAGTGCTTGATGTACGCCTTGCTTGATGCTTGTGTACTTGTCTTCTTCCTCCTTTTATAGGCTCGATTTAGGGTTTCTTGACTTGAAACTTGGGCCGGTGGAGTTGGACCCTTGCAAATTCACGTGGGCTAGCTTTTATAAGCCCGAATGACTAACCCGAATAAATAAGAATTTAGTGCTTATTTCGGGTTCACTCACATAACACATTTGTGAAGCCCAAATATAGTATGGACTTCAACATAAAGCCCAAATTCATCATGGGCTTTGATTTGAGATCCAAATTAGTAACCGATTTATTTTGGTTATTAATTTGTGATTTAATCTCAAAAATTTGATATAAGCCCAAAATTTTTTATGGACTTTTAATTAAGATCCGAATTAATAACCAATTTATTTGGATCATTAATTCGTAATTTAATCTCAATTTTGATGTCAACAAATGCCCCCACTTCAAGTTTCGGCGAATAACATGGCAGACATTTGTGAGAGGAGACTTGAAGTATTCGGACATATATTTCTTCCTTGGTTGAGGTCGAGGACATAATTTCTCAATTTGTAGAGACCATCCTTGTACAAATATGAACACTCAAATCCAACCAAACTGTAGTTTAATTCAATCAAATAAAACCCATCATCATTTGAGCAGCAAATCACCACTATCGTGGGTATTGCCACACTACCCCTTTTCTTTTATCTCTTTTGTCCCTTTTTTTTTTTTTTTTTTTTTTTTTTTTTTTTTTTTTTTTTTTTTTTTAAATTTAATTTGCTGTGGGCCCCACAATTAATGGTCTTTGTAGACCAAATTTTATGGAATACATCTTCCAAGTCGATCAACTTCCCAACCCACGAATGGCGGTGAACAAAGTGAAATAAGAGAAATCCTTCACAAATCTTATTTTTTGGTAATTAACACCTTCTGACTGAGAAACATCGATGAGAGAATTTCTTTTTATGTGAATTTCCTTGTCTAAAGATATGAAATACTCCATAAAAGAAATATATTTCCTCCCACAATTTTTTTTTTTTTTTTTTTGGCAGACTATGATTCGATCTCTCCATTTAAGCTGTACAATATTCGCCCAATGTATCCCTCAATTTAAAATATTCTCTTCCATGTAGCATGATTATGTTATCAGGAAATAACCATAATCTCCGTCACACAACTTAGGTAAATTAGATTTTCTTCCTCTTTTCGTGATCTTGGAAACTTCCCCATCTAGCACCACTCCAATCTTATATAAAGACCACAAGCTAGAGCTTTTATTTCATTCAGCAGCAGCAACAATCGTGCAGATCATTTTTTTTTTTTCAGTGTTTTGCTTAATCAAAAGGTAAGCTCTGTCCCAAGTTAACACGAACAATCAACTTACTGAGCAACGCACGCAACGTGTTCGTGAATTTGACTCAATGAAAAAAAAAAATCCAAATTGCCGTCTATATCTGAATTTTCTTTTAGCATAATTGTTTTATCATCCCCATCCCTCTTCTTGCTCCTGATCCTTTTTTTTTTTTTTTTTTTTTTTTTTTTTTTTTTTTTTTTTTTTTTTTTTTTAAAACCTTAGGGGGTTCGGGGAGATGTACATCGAAGATCGAGATGAACCTTTCCCATGCATTGTTATTCGCAATGATAAGGACAACTTCAAAATCAAAGGTACAACCTTGCGCGTTCATGAACCGGCTTCAATCGATCAATCTTCCAAGTCACGAATCGACAAGTCTATGCATATCCCCAATTGGTCCGAGGAAGCTACTAGGGAAGTCATCGATCCTCGCTCCGGCTCTTCTTCCCGCTCACGAGTCTTGCTGCTGAGGTCCTCGCTTCACGAAAAAGCTAAACCTGTGGATTTTATACTCCCACATCGTCGTTTCTCATTTAAGGGAAGCTCGTGGAAGATCCCACCGTCCAACTTCGGAGAGGTGTCCTTTCACGTTGGCTTTTGGGAGTGGACGGAAGATGTGCTAAGCCATTATGAGGATACCCTTCGCCAAGCCAAGATATATGCAGCTGTTCATGCCTCGCTATTCACATACGTCTGCAACAAAAAGGTTCTTCGAGCTTTCCTTGAACTATGGTGCCCTTCGACGAACACGTTGCACGCGGCCAATGGAGAATTATCGATCTCCCTATGGGACATACGCGGACTGTGCGGGCTGCCCATTCATGGAGACTTCTACGACGAAGTGGTTCCTTCAGCGAAAGAGCTCCTCAATAATGACTCTCGTGGAACTTCTCTACCT